TCGTCCTTCATCACCATGGACGTCGTTGTACTTTTCGAATTTTCTGCTGAAATAAACACAGATAACAGAATGAAAGAAAAAGTCTGCAATCAAACATATCTCTGTAAAACAAAATGAAAGATATATATTGAAGCTAATTAGATATAAGAACCAACCTGTTGTATTCTCAGTCATCGAGTTTATATCCTCGTCAGTGGAACTATCGACTTGTGTCGAATCCATTTGATTTCTCTGAGCTTCCGGTATCACCAGGATTCCATTGCTATCTAATTTCGCGATAGTGAGCATCAAATCATTCAATGATTTCTGACAAAATTTATCTAGACTTTTCTCGGTGTCGTCCGATTTGCCAGGCGTGGTAACAGGACTAGGCGTTTTGGGTATTGACGAGCTGACAGCTTGTAACAGCGAAACGGTAGAAGAATTTTGCGACTGCGACGAATTATCGCACGAATTAACGTTTACTACGTTGGCGTTATATTTTTGATTATTGCTGGCCTGTTGATTTCTTAAAGTAATCTTATATCCCTCGTTGGTAGGAAGGACTGTCATATTGGGAGCTGCGTGCTGAGGTCGAGATGCCGAGGTATAAGAGGGAAGGCAAGGATTCGCTTGCTGAGGTATATGCCAACGATGTTGCACGGGATAATTCCCGAGGTGTTGCGTCGAAGGGGGAGTTAAATTACATTGAGGCAGACGTGTCGTTCCAACAGGCGCACTTGCTTGTTGATACGCGTGATGCGGTGGTACTTGAACCATCGCTGCTCCTCTCTGAGGGCTACCACTTGAGGAATATCTATATCCAGGTGGTAATCGATACGACATGTGATTGGTGGATGTTCGGAACGACGGATAAGGAGGCGGCGGAAGGGAAGGATTATGTGCGAGAAGCCCGCGTAAACTCGAGTTCTGTCCAAGCTGATCGAGATTCTGGACCTGCTGATGTGGATGCGTGGACGATGTCACTTGTTGATGACAGTTACCCAGTGGAGGACGTTGCTGATGCATCACCAAAGGTTGTTGTAACCTGTTGTTATTATTATAGTTGGCAGAATACGGTACACGCGGCTGATGCGTCTGTGGCGATGATCGAGGCGGCATATTGTGCGGTGTGGTGGTATACTGTTGCATATAATTTTGAGATTGCTGTTGCGCATGTTGTTGTTGCGACTGTTGTTGGGATAAACAGGGCAGACCCACTTGTTGCTGATAAGAATTTTGTTGCATATTGGTAGATTGTTGCGGTATAGTCGGTCCTGATAACACTGCCAATCCTTGCTGAATAATCGGAATAGTACCGTCCGCATGAGCGTTCATCGAACTTGTTGTTTGCTTTGGCTCACCTTGCTGTTCATTATATGTTGTTGTGTTATTATTCCCAGGAGATATGGATGGATATACTCTGCCATCAACGACTATCGCTCCGATCGATGATACCACTGCAACCAGAAACAACACGTATCGGATTATGTAGCTCATATATAATATTAAAATGTAAAACTAATCGGGCTGAAAATTATTATAAAAATTATGTAATTGTGACATGTCGTCACAAACCTTTTATTAAATCTGGTACTTTTTCTAGAGACAAATGTATTCTGACTGGTATCTCGGGATTTGGAATATCGGCTCGTTTGCTTTTTATCCTTAGTAAATGATTTGTAACAGATCTATAATGATATTATTACAAGTTATATACATTATATATGTACATATGTATGTATCTGTGATTATAGTGTACTTTTTACTATATAATAATTCCATATCTGAGCCTTTATTCAAAGCGTGTGTGCCAAAGAGTATACAATGATCGGTAAGTTTGGATAACTGATCTAAAGCTATTTTCTTCTCATTTAATGTATTCTGCTTTTGATCGCACACCTCATTTAATCTCATTACCAACTGTTTTCCCCTTGTATTAATTGCATTTGTTAATCTAGAAAAAAAGAAAGAATAGAATTAGTATATATCTAAAAAAAAAATGCAAACAAAAAGATTGTACATATATCAGCACACTTACTGTACCACCATCTGTGTTATATCTTGAACAAGATTTTTTTTCTTCTCCAATATTAGAATTTGCCTATCCTCTATAACTTTCATCGCACTTTTTAATAATACTCGTTTGTAGCTGAAAATTATTGTTTATTTTGCAAATCTGCAACTCTCTGATATTTTGTTAATTATTATATATTTACAGATCTTACCTTACTTCTTTGAGCAAAGTAGACATGGAGGAACGAGTTTCAGCAGCAATTTCGTGAATGAATTTGTATTTATGATCACGATGTTCACTGAGTTGACAGTCTCTACAGGTTAGTTTATCGCATGTCTGACAAAATAAAGATAATTGTTCGTGACAATGGATTGTGCAAAACAAGTATCCAGGTATCTTCTTATTTCCTCTTTTGACATTATCTCTATTATCATTTGTCATTTCATCCTTGGGTTTAATTGTGTGATCCTTAGTTATTTTCAACCTTTGATGTGCCTTAAAATAGTTTTGTCCAATATAAGTTAACATTTTGTTGAAACACTCGTTCAAAAATCCATTTTTTAAATCTAAATACACATTTGTACGGCATATAAAGTTTAATACGTAGCTTATAATTACCATAACACAATTCTGGCAAATAAATTCTTCACACTCGACGCACCAACTAGTAGCAGTAGCATTATCGTGACAACTGGTACATTTTTTCTCCTCTTCAGTTTCTTTAGGTTCGTCATCCAATCCCATATTGCTATCTTCCTCCAATAACTTTAAGAGAAATCTGTTTTCAATCAAATTTTCCACTTTGGTAGTTACATTGCAGATATGACACATAATCAGGTTGCTCTCCACTGTAAAGTACAATGAGCTATTATGAGCATAGAATAAATTTAAAATAAAATAATGTTATACAATGTTATACAATGAGATCGAAATAAAAGTCTTTCATTAATAATTTGACAATTAAATGGGCAAATAAATATTAATTTTGTCAGACTATAATTACAATTACATGCTGTAATTACATTACATACACAGCACATCCACATCCACTGATGTATTGTGATCACTGAGCTTATTAGTAACACATGCTATACAAGCCGCGTGTAAGCACTCCAGAAGCTTTGGATCATCTCCCAGGACGAACACTTTATTACAAAAGACACATTTGGACAAAAACGCGCGGATCTCGCTCTCTTGACTTTCGGTAGTGCACTCGATACGTTGATCCCCGCACTCCTCATCGACACAAATTGCATCCTGCGTTTGAGATTGTTGTGAGTCCAGCTTCGAGTTGCCGTTTTGCTCCGAAGGCTCCTCTTTCACGATCACAGGTAACGGAGGTAACGCTGATATTCCCGCCATTAATTCGTTACTTCGGCTCTCCATGATTGTGAAATTTGACGATCCAGCCTCTACCGCTTTCGAGGAGCGGTTTACGTTATAATATGCGGTAGAAAGTTTCTCTCAAACAACGTAACCGATATAGCGCCATGGCAGCCATTTTAATAACTATATACAGGGTGTCCCATAATTTGCGGATCACCCGCCATGTGCAGGTAGAGCACATGAAACCGAGAAGAAAAGTCCTTTACCATTTTGCGATTTTCGTAATAATTATTAAGAAATTAATTTAAAAAGATGGGCCAATCCATGCCTTACACAAGCGCGCGGCGAGAAGAGACTTCCTACTCAGGCGTTGCTTGGTGCGCGGCTAAGCGGTGGGAGGGGCGCTCTATACGGCTACGTAAGAGCGAACGCTGTAGCCACGCGTGTCGAACTATTCTCTCTCTCTCTCTCTCTCTCTCTTTCTCTTTCTCGCACGCGCGGCATAGGAAGCAGAGTTGGGCAAAAATGTAATCTAATTAACAATTACAAATTTTAATTACAATGTAATTCTTAATGCAATTAATAATAACATTTTATAATCGTTAATTATTGCAAACAATTACATTGTTTTATTAATTGCATTAAGAATTACATTGTAATTGAAATTTGTAATTGTAAATTAGATTACATTTTTGCCCAGCTCTGCTTCCTATAGGCGCGTTCCATTTAACGATCGCAACGCTCACGGTATCATTTCATCCTTGTTGTTCACGAAACTTAAACAAAGACAGATGATGCTCGCGAGCATTGCGATCGTTAAGTGGAACGCGCCCTATGCCGCGCGCGCGAGAAAGAGAAAGAGAGAGTGAGAAAGAGAGAGAGAGAGAGAGAGAGAATAGTTCGAGATGCGTGGCTTCAGCGTTCGCTCGTACGTAGCCGTATACAGCGCCCCTCCCACCGCTTCGCCGCGCACCTAGCAACGCCTGAGTAGGAAGTCTCTTCTCGCCGCGCGCTTGTGTAAGGCATGGATTGGCCCATCTTTTTAAATTAATTTCTTAATAATTATTACGAATATCGCAAAATGGTAAAGGACTTCTTCTCGGTTTCATATGCTCTACCTCCACATGGCGGGTGATCCGCGAATTATAGGACACCCTGTATAGTATGTATAATAAATCTACATATATGTATATAGGCGTAAAATAATAGTCATGAGTGTAGAAGTGTAGTGTAGAATAGTGTGTGAGCTGGGACATCATTCGATTTCTTCTGATTGGCTGAAATCCTTTTTGGTCAAAAATGGCGAAATCGGAATATTTGTAAAAATAGTAACTAGTCTAAAGTCCATTTCAAACTATACATTAAAGATTGTGATTGGAGATTAAAGATTGAAATTTAACCAATCAGATCAAAGAAAATCTTAGTTCCTTGTGCTAGTAGCTTTTTATGAAACTGTTCAGTAGTAATCAAACGTGATTGGCTTTTACTTTTAACCAACAAATCAACGGCTGCGGTCGGAAAGACGCTAGAAATGCTTCGAAGCGTTTGATTGACCAATCAGGACAAAGAGAGTAAAGATTTCTTTATTCTAATTGGTTAATGCAATGCTTCGAAGCATTTCTAGCGTCTTCTCGACCATAGCCAACGTCAAGTGTTGACGATGAGCGCTTTTTCTGCCGAACGCGGCCAAGTTTTCCACCATTTTCAGAAATATTTAGTAACTGAATTCTTGAATATTAGAGAAAGAGATATAACCTCAATCGTGTAATTGTAATATTACAAGCAATTGTATTATTAGCTGTATAATTCGAGATTATATGTGAAGAAAAAAAGGTTTTAAAAAAATCAAGATTTCGTTCTTTTTGCAAAAATGCATTGGAAAATGAAGAGATTAATAGGTTCGTAACACCTTCCAATATGATATAGAATCGAAAATATCTACGCATTCGTTTCTTGTAATAATCGATTATTAAATATAATTTTTTTCGCAGATGGTTTGATGTCTGATGATAACGAGGATATGAACAGCGATGAGGATATCGAGGATACAAGCAGCGATGAAGATATCGAGGATATAAGCAGCGATGAGGATTCATCAAACGAATCCTCATCAACATCGGATAGTGATAACGATAGAATTTCTATTATCGAAGAATCAAAAGCTGAAACATCGGCAGGTATTCTTTTCAATTTCTTCAATTTATTTCATTTGTAGATTTTTTCAATTAAGGATAAGCTAAAAACGAAACAAAGCAATTCTACATATTAAAAATAAAGCCTGTTTAAGTTTCTTATAATCTAAATCTAAGATCTAAATGAAGTCTCTTTCTTTAAGATGGGGCATCTTCTCATCAAGACAACAGTAACTTATTGTTAGATGAAGAGAATGAAGTTGTCAAGGCTATATTAAGTGGAAAAGATTTGCACAGGAATCATCCACCAACAATTATATTAGAAGATATGATAACAGATATATGTTTCCATCCTACAGCAGATACTATAGGTGTAGCTAGTATTACGGGAGATATTTTTATGTAAGTTTGATGAAAAGAATATTTTATTTGCATTTTTAAACCTTGCATTTATTTTTCCTACTAGGTACAAGTATAACAATGAAGAGACTAGTCTTGTATCTACTATAGAATTGCATCTTAAAGCTTGTCGAGACATTGAGTTCAGTGAGAATGGACAGATATTATTCTCAGCTGGAAAAGATTTATGTATAGCGATAACTGATGTGGAAACTGAAAAGTTAACTAGATTATATGAGAAAGCTCATGAGTATGTATAATATATTGATATACAGCTTTATTAATATGTCAATTATATTACTAATGCATCTTTCATCATATCTTAGGCAACCTATATATACAATGACGATAATCAATGAGAATGTATTTGCAACAGGCGACGATGATGGTGTAGTAAAATGTAATAATAATTTGCAATACTTCTTAAATTTTTAACTGAACCCCAAAAATGAATCTTATAAAAAATTTTTTTTAGTGTGGGATCTCAGACAAAAGGGAAGTGAACCAATATTTTCCATAAAGAAGGTGGAAGATTATATTAGCGCAATGATAACCAACAGAGATGCCAAGTATTTGGTTTGTTCCAGTGGTGATGGTTGTCTAACGACTCTAAATATACCAGAGAGAAAAATGCACATACAGGTACATTGTACAAAAATCAAATCTGATAATCATATGTCAATCTAATCTATCATATTACACGCAGTCCGAAGAATATGACGAGGAACTGACGTGTCTCGGTTTATTTAAATCCGAAAGAAAATTGTTAACAGCTACTAGTAAAGGGAAAATGTATGTATACAATTGGGGTGAATTTGGATTACATTCGGATGAATTTCCAAACATTACGAAGGCAGCCATAAATTGTATGATTCCCATTACGGAGAATGTTGTAATAACTGGAGAGAACGGAATAATTAGGTAAGAAAGAATTTTTATGACTTACTTTACATATGTGTAACATCTTTTAAACAATTTCTATATATAATAAATAGGGCAACTAGTTTGTTTCCTCATCGTCAACTCGGCATAGTAGGACATCATGACTTTTCTATCGAGACGCTCGATATCAGTAACAATGGAACTTTAATAGCGTCCTCGTCTCATAATAATGACATCAAATTCTGGAATGTACAATATTTCGAGACTTTAAACGTTACCGAATCTGTAAAAGGTGGAAAACAAAAACGGCTCAAACATAATCTTCCAAGCAGTGAAATAAATAATCGATCTGATTTCTTTGCTGAATTGTGATTTTAACAGTTTCGTATAATAAAATAATATAATTTGTACTGTGGTTGTCAATAGTATTTCATGATAATTCGCATGCATATCCTATCTAAAAATATAAATCACATTTTAGTACATATTTTTTACATCGTTTAGGAATAAACAAAAACAAGTAATATTATGAAACATGTGCATTTTATACATAGTTATCAATACACAAGAAGTACTACATAAATTTATGTATGTGATATGAATAATATTCATATATAATGCTTTGTTTTGATTAAACTTGAAATATCTTACAAAATAGATTCATACATATTTCACTACATTGGTGGATCAATATATTTAGATATAATCGTACATATTACCAGTTCTGTTATCTGTGAATGATTAAAGTAAAGCAGTGCACTTATATAAATCTATCTATCTAAACATATGTTGTATGTTATCAATGAGAAATGATTGGAACAAATTCGTGTCATGCTTGTAGACGAAGTTGAGCAACTTCGTTGTTTGTAATCGTTTGTAAATCTCTTTCTCTCTCTAAGTCTGCTTTAAAAAATGTCTATCTAGTAACATTCATAGCAGATGAATTAAATAATACAAATGATATATTTCTACATTGACGATATAAAATATGAATAGTTTTTATAGATACTTTAGAAATATCCTTAAAAAGGAATGATTCTTCTTTTTTTTTTTGAGTCTCCGTTCGAGTTCGCCATTATGACGTAAAATACAGTCTTTTCATAATTATCGCTTATTGATGATTTATTTGACGTAAATATTCCGGTGCATGATAATGCTGTTGCGCATGTGCCAACGAGGGATGTATAGGAGGCGGGAAACAGCGGACATGTTCCACACTTGCCACGTCGCTATCTCCACTCTTCAAATATTTATTTAACACGGCGAATATTTGTGAATTTAGAACTTGAAATCGTCTTATCCGATCTACCATTCTCTTCAGATGCTTTAAAGATAATAGTTATATATTACAATTTCATATAATAAAGATAGTTAATTTATATATATACATGAATAAAACACACGCGGGTGTATATATGTATGTATACTCACTATTCCCTTAACATTCTCGTCTTTACCATCTACACGTTGCACTCTAAGAATGTGATAGCAGAAATCGAGCGCTTCAAACCTACGTTGTTGTCCCAGAAGAACGATCATAGCACATCCAGCCCAGTGTAAGCCTTCGCCGAACAATTCTCTACAATCGGAAAGCGATTGCGGTTACAATTTTTCATGCACTACTTTGAGAAATATATATGTATCGTATATAATGAATTATATTTATTACTAACTCAACAGTAAATTCCGTTTCACCAACGGGGATGCAGTATACAAATTGAAGCGCGCTCCAAAGTCTATGAAATTCCGTACATTCGTCCACATTCATTACACCATTCGCTGGCGGTGGTCCGACCCAAATAGGGTCATCTAGAAAGCTCCGTAATCTGCTGAGCACAACTTCGAATATCGATAAGCCACAGCATAATCGCTCGCGCGTCAATAAATCCCCTTCTCTGGCAATCATTGCTTGCTACAAAATTAAATGATCATGTATAGATGAGTTGTTGAGTAAAATGTAATTTGGATTTGAAAGAGATATATCGCTCATGTTTCCCTTACTTTAGCGGTACCTAATTTATCCACGTTTGGAACAATTTGCAAAGCTGCATATTTTGCTTCCAATCGTTTCTGCTTGGTCTCGGGTTTTTCTCCCTCTGGAAAAATTTATAACAAATATTTAATTTCTTGCATATATATAGATTTTTTATTTCTATTTTATAATACCTGCGAAACAATTCGTCCTCACCTTTACAGTAAGGTCTCGGTAAGATGTTTTGAAAAGGCGCTGCGTGTAACAGATCGCATACTTCTTCTTGCGACAAAGATTGCTCCATCAGAAGACAAAATAGAATCGTATTGCCAAATTCGCGAAAATTATGAAACAGTTCAGTCTTAGCATCTGGATATTGTACGATATCGTTCAACTGAGCGTGATAATAGCCTAAAACACCGGGGGATCCGTAATCGTATCGTGGAAGTTTGCAGACTTTCGGCATAGCTTCCATTAAGGTCTTGGTAAATTGGTGCAAACTTCCTTGGATTAGAGTTTTGACAATCTTCAAAAGTTCTTCCATAACTACAGCTATCCCTTGATATCCAAGGAGTTTGCATATGGTACGAAAGTGATGTGGACCAACGAATCCTGTATATTGTCCATATTGAGTGCTATAAGCCAGGTTCAATTGTTTACTACCCCACAGATAGTGATGGGACATTTGCGGAGGTTTATCTCTATGAACTGGTTGTACAAATTGTAGACCGCGACACTTAACAAATCTGTACAAATGCATCAAATAATTTATGTTAATATCGAATGATATATGTCAAACATACAAGATGTGCTAAACGCGTATAAACGTACCTATTCGTGGCAGCATTGTAACAATAATTTGGCAAAAAGTCATAGTTCAATTCCCAAAATACATGAAGAGTGATTCGTCCATAAGGAGCTAGAACGTTGTGATTAGCTTCCCTAAACATAGCATCATATTCGTCTAGCGCGAGCCACTTACTTAAAAGTTTATGAGTAAGACGATTGACTTGTAACAATCCGTCTAATTCCTGTCAAATATTAGCAAGCGAGTAGTTGCAAAAGGCATTGTTATTTTTACAGTGAGAGAAAATTATTATACGTTCTCGGGGAAGACTTACCACAACTCCCGTTATATCACCAGATTCGAACTTGCTAATGGCCAGATCCAATGATTTTTGCATATCCGCGTTAATACGCTGCGTTATAAGTTTATTCAAATCGATGCTTCTTCCAAGTAGCTGAACGTGTCGCTGTTTCAACAACGTTTCGTATCTATTAGCACGTGGATACGGAAGTAGATATGCCCCGAGAGCTACGCACTCTACCCTGAATCGTTTGTCCAACAGAATACTGGCCGCCAGCTGCTTATAATGTGCGAAAATCTGTTCGCTAAGTTTGTATACAAATTGATCGAAGCACAAATTCACTTCAGCTTCTACTTCATCATATAGAAATTGCTTACGAAATATAGTCAGCGCGTATAACGCGCTATCGTTATATAAATCCAGAGGATATAAAACGTATCTGTGAAACGGTAATAATAATATATCATGTAAAATGATAATTTAATTTCGTTGATAAGAATTGCTATCACAGCATTGATATATAACCGTGTTATATCATACAATAAACTTACTCCATCATCGATGGTTCCTTACTTCTTAATATATGATCAGTCAATATCCATGGCATAGACATTTCAATGGGAAACTGAAACATATATTTATTGATTAAATATTTGAATATAAAATACGTATGGACTGTATCTCTGAGCATGATATGGCACATCTGCCCGAGAGAAACATAGATAAGTTTTAAAATTCCGACATGTTTCTTACGGCATCAGTTATCTATCGAACACAGTAGCAAATGAAGAAGTACCTGAATGCGTTTCTCCATGGTGATCAGGTCGCTGCACTCTTCATTATGCTGGTGACGTACTTGACATTTCTAATCATATAAATAAATTACAGAATATGCTATTTTCACATAATATTAGCTTCATGGCTAATGTATAAAGAAATTGCAAAACTAATGTCCATTAATTGGTAAATCTTATATGTACAGTTCTTATATGCTTGAATCAAATAAATAAAGTGTTCACATAACACACAACTGTTGGTTTTTTCTAATCGGCAAATTATACGATGCGGCAATTCCAAGAATACGCTACCTGATATTAGTCAAGTTAAAATAAATCAACATTATTATTTACCTGTATTTTCCTACCCATTGTCATTTCTAAATAAAATTCTCTATACCATAGTTGTGATAAATCGCAACAATTCTGTAGAGACTCTGTGAGCAAAGAAAAGAAAAATTGTTAAGAGAAAGCAGAAAATAACTGCGAATTTAAAAAGAATCGACATCTATTTACCACTGAAATTCAATAAATAACTCCAGTAGAAACTGGTTTTGTGAAACTGATCGATTTGAACGAGATATTGGCCATCGATATCTTTCCTTAGAGTGCGTTTTCCACCGCTTTTATCGGCGATTAACGATTCCAACATAGTCCGTACCATATAAAGTTGTGTAGAGGACGGACCTATATTGCGTTTTATCATAATCAATTCTCAAACTCGATCGCAATTTCAAAGTTAAAAATAAAAATAGGAAAGTAAAAAGTAATATGCAATATCTTAATGGTAAACTGACCAACGTTTCTTCGCGGGACTTTAATGCCGAATCCATTATCTGGATCCTTTTTGCCTTTTAATGCGGGATCTCCGAGTGGTTCCACTCCAAAATGCCAATCGGCGCAAGTTTCTCTAACGGAAACGATTATACTAAAACAAAATGAAGACAAAAGAAATAAGAGAAACCACTCTGGTATTTTTAAAACTATTTAGATTTCTAAATAATTTGCACAAATGTCGCTCTTGTAAATGAAGAGGAAGATGGTGACATTTCTACAATATATAATTTATGCTAACCTTCTGATCAAATCCTTTTTATTCTTGATTGCTTTCCTTAAGGGTTCACGTAACGCGAGTTGTACAAAATCTTGCAATTCAGCATATATATTTCTACGTATTGCATCGATAAAAACAGTTTCCATACGTGCCATCAATACCTGCAATCCTTTAATCATTGCTATAACTTCTATAAGAGCAAATTTCTCTTCGTCGGTATAATTATAACGTGTAGCCTATGTAAAAAAAGAAATATTAGTATAAAAATGATTATTTATATATGGTCACATAAATTAGTAAATTTCATAATATCCTTACTCTTTCATATTCTTCAGCTTCTTGTGGACATTCTTTGTTCATATGATGGTCAGTAGGATGCAATAGTTTCCAACTGTATAGTTCCGTTACAACGCTAGTCCATTGCGAAAGCAACTGTAGTCCACGTAATGCCAACTCCGCAGTATCCCGATTTTCTGTATCGCTTCGACATTCCTTATATGTTGTAGTAACCTCGTTACTGTACCTGAATACAATTATCAAATGTATCACATTACTAGTAGCTGATATTAGATGAAACCGAATATGAACGAGATTATATTGGAAAATACCTTGCCAATTCACTGATGTATTTTACATGATCCTCTCTAATTTGAGGAAGATGTACCATAAGATCAGCTTGTGGACTCATGCTGTTCGACGAAGCAGATAACGGCCATTTTGACGCATCAAAGTGTTTCGAACGTTTGATATAATTAAATGGCGCAATTTGCATATCTCCGAACAATGGAACTACTTCTAAATTCTTAAAGATTCTATCAATTCTATCTAACTTCAATTTTTTTTTCTGATCAAGTTTATTGATGTTACACAATTCGCTATCCATTAAGAATAAACCAAACCCCATCACTTTCACCAACATGTGCTTTTCATTAGGTGTAAGATACATTTTGGTTTCAAACATATGAACACAAATATTGACAACATCTGCGAGTAATTCTTCGTATCCTGTAATCTTCTCTAGATTTTCTTTAACTGTGTCGCGAATTTTATTCTGTGTTGCCAAGAACATTGACAAATTTTGTGACTCTTGCAATGTCTGAGAATCTGACATTACTTTCAAAAACTGTGCAGCTCTACAAAATAGAACAAAGCACATTTAATTTAAAATAAACACACATTTAAAGAGAAATCCAATAAAATTTTATTTTCAATATGTTACCTTCTATATGTAGAATAATCATTCTTCACACTAGATTTCATGTTCTTCAATTCATCCAATACAGCAAACATATTGATGAATTTTCCCAAAGTTAAGAGATATGCTTCGGATACAAAATCTTTTCTTTTCTCATGATGACACAATCGCTTAACTTCTCCGGAAAATCGTTCTATCGCTTTTCTCTAAAACATAAGTATGTATGTAAACATATATACAGAGAGAGACAGCCAAACTAAATATAGTTATAATATAATAAGCTACAATTTGTGCTTACTTGAAAATACATGAAATTTAACAATTTATTGACTTCGGGTGCCAGTACTTCCACAGTCTTTTCATAAATTTCCACCCTATTCGGCTGTTCATTAGATTTCGGTTGTGGAATTGCACGCGAACAACATCTCCAGGTATATAACATGACAGCATGTTCTAAACCTTCTTCTAATAATTCGTTCTAAAAAGATATTTCCAATAAAAATATCTTGTTAATATTCAATTATTGACAAACGTAATTTTAAAAGATAAGCTTACCAAACTCGCGTGTACAGTTGCTTCTTCAATATACTTGGCAATGCCTGTTACAAAACCGTTTCTGTCTTCGAAATTGGTATCGAAGTTCGCTTGATATACTACGGAACATGGTTGAGCTTCTATACAAGGTTGTTCATCCGGTAACGTAAATTCATCCAATACATCAACGTTCGACAGAGCATCGCCCAGAGTAACTTTGTCGGTAGTCATCTCGTCGATGGTGTGCTTGTGTTGTAAAATTATAGAATGAAAGATACAGCAAATCCCAGCAGGGGATTAAGTATGTCCAACAGCCGGATGTATTTCTACGTGTGTGGTACTTGCACAATCATCATGACATATTCCTGAGATGATTGTTGAATCTGACGTTCAAAATCACGAATGAGATTGTGGATCGTGGGAAAGGAAGCTTCAAATGTCAGATCATCAAGAAACATTTGGGGATGACGAATGTGTCTGATGCACTATCGCATAAAGTCTATCCCGATAATGAATCTCGCCAACACTGCTTTCCGTTGCCGTTTTTCGGATTTTCGGATGTCAAATGATGTCAAAAATCAGTAACATAACACGGCAGGTATACACATACACGGGATAAGAATATGTCAGAGAACACGTCTGAATGAGGAGAGAATCGAAGGACAATCGATTCGATCTATCGATTGTGCTTGATAATCACACATCCGAGACACGCCCGCGTTCATTGTTCATTGGCTTAAAATGGCTAAAGTGTCTACACGTCTACATGTTTCCGATCACCAATCACTATTTATATAAATAATTGACGGTAAATTCCTCGATTTGTGTGTGTGTGTTGTTTGTAACCAAGGGCGCTATTACACGCTACCGATTACCGACAATTATCGGTGTCGTTGCGCAGGAATAATATATCGCAGAAAAGCTGCGCAGAAACGACACCGGCAATCGTCGATAGCTTGTACAGAAGAGCGCTAGAAGAATTAAAAAAAATATATAGAATGTAACTGTCTTTAATTAAATTAAAGACAGTTATTTGAAAAAAAAAGTTAAGGGATATATACATATATATGTGTATGTATGCTTACTGATAAGGACTTGTCAACACTGATAATAAGCGAGTATGAAGAAAGGATATCGGGGAAATAAGTTCGCCACTCTTTTTTTTCTTTTTTTGCAATTATATTTATCTACATCCTACTCGCTATTAAAAGGCATGACACTGTCAATTGTCAGAAAAAATCGCAATATGCTATTTTAGAATTAAGCATATTTATCGTATGTGTTATATTCTCTAGTAATAATTAATAGAGATACGCTCTCGAAACAGGAACGATGGCAAACGAGATATCAGCGAGTATTTTGACACTAAATTGTTGGTGAGTAAAAAAAATGTCCAGTTTTATATTTTATACAAAATACGTATCTCTAGCTGTAATGATTTCTAATTATTTTTGTTTAAATACTTCACAGGAGCATACCATATGTTTCAAAGGATAGAGCCGCACGTATATCCGCTATCGCAGATAAGTGTGCGAGCAGAGAATACGATATAATTTGTTTGCAGGAAGTTTGGTCTATTCAAGATTTTAAAGTGATAAAGACAAAAGTACAGGAAGTTCTTCCTTATTCGCATTACTTTCATAGGTATGGTATTGTACGTTAGACATTTAGATAATCGCCATTGTTCACCATGAGATCGTACATTTTTCCTTTTCTTTTTTTTTGGACAGTGGTGTCGTTGGATCAGGAGTATGTATCTTATCACGGTATCCTATTTACGACGTTATATTCCACAAATGGCCTTTAAATGGTTACGTGCACAAGATACATCATGGGGATTGGTTCGGCGGTAAAGGTGTTGGGCTATGTAAAATTAAGATTCTCAATATGAATATTAATGTTTACACCGCACATGTACGTTTGCTTAACACACTTTTTCATCATTATTTTCATGACATTTAATTGAGTACAAATCTATTTATATAACAATATAATATGTGATAAAGCAGAACTTGTGTTGTGATTTAAAAAAATAAGTGCTAAAAGTATTATTCATTGCTTGTTCTTTGCAGTTACATGCTGAATATAACCGAGAGAACGATGAATACATGGCTCACAGAGTGCTGCAGGCATTTGATACTGCGCAATTTATAAGAATGACCAGTGGTGGCGCGGATGCTGTGATATTAGCTGGTGATCTCAATACTGAGCCGCAAGACTTAGCATATAGGATTATGTGTGGCGTTAGCGGTTTAATGGACGCGTGCCCGAGCAGTGCGAGTCACATAGGGACCAATGAATGTGCCAATAACAGTTACACATGCTCAAAATTCGCTCAAACGAGACCAGATGGGAAGCGTATAGATCATATTTTATACTTAGGTTCAAAAACCGTTAAGGTAAGTGATTTAACGTGCATCTTATGAAAGCATTAATGTTATACGACAATGTATATCTGAAACGCCATAATTTTTATAGGTTGAAATTACAAATTTCCAACATCCTTTGCCAAATCGCGTGCCGTATAAAAATTTTAGTTATTCAGATCATGAAGCTGTTATGGCTACACTTAAATTCACCAATGGTGAGTTTAACAGTTAAAGGATTCCACATGTATTATTTCTCTCAACCTATTTTCTCGGGTAATATTTTAGATAGATATATATTTTATATTATATAATTTGTTCTATACATTCTTTCACAGATGAACATGGCATAAACAATTTAGATGTAACAGATTCCTTAAAAGAAGCAATTGAAATTTGCGAAACCGCGTTGAAAAATGTACAACGCCAACGTTTCTGGTATCTGTTGTCAGGTTGTATACTGATCATTCCATTAATTTGGTCTCTTGGGCTAAACTGTATGTTGGACAAATCTATAGGTATCGACATTGGTTTGAATATACTACGTATATTTTTGACTGCAATATTATGTTACGCTCTCTTTATGAGTTCAATATGGAATAATGTAGAGAAAAATGCTTTAAAAGCGGGATGTTTAGCTATAGAAATTCACATAAAACGATTGAGTGATCTACATTGAAGCGCTGAACGTCAAATCTATATAATACTAAATATTTTTAAGAAAGGATTTATAATATACAGTGAAAAATTAAAAATTGATCGTGCTCAAAAAAAAATTTTTTTTTAAGTTTTTATATATTCTCTTAACATGTAGTGGAGATATATACTTATAACTTAAAAAAAAAAAATGGTATTTATTTTAAGCTTGCATTTATATCCTTTAGCGTAATACGATTTTATTAAATGAATAAAACTTGGATTTACAATAGATTGACTTGAACATTAAAAGCGAGATGCGAATACTAAGATATAAACTATAAAACTGCATCGCCGATAACCATGTCTCTTTAAAGTTACATTTTATTAACGAATTGTAGTACTGTGACTATACTTTAGATTTGTATTTAGAAATAATTGGTATTTACTGATCGACCAATTGTATGAACTATGCATATCACGTGAATCGACGGCATTTTGGTAATATATATATCTATTGACATTTTCATGCGTATATGTTTCCATCATAATATCGAAAATGAAATTTAATTCTTGCAGTTTTTGAATTCAGCACTCTTTTATACATTATCGCGTTTTGTTGTATACAAATCGTGCTTTGCGTTTCTAATAGATTTAAAAAAAAAAAAAAAAAAAAAAACACCAAAAAAAAGTTTACTCTATATGTACAAAATAAGTTTGTAAAAAATTTTCTGTACCTAGTATTCAATACATTGCATTATATATATTTTATTATATTATAATACAATAGTATAAACGAATGGTTATTGCCTTTAAAATCTCCTACAAGCTCCATATGGAATTTCCATGTACATATATGGGAATCTTTCAATATAAATGTGTATTGAAATACATCATATATATTAATTCTATATATGGTCCTTATGCACATATATATCACTCACAAGTGATTATATATACAATTTAGATACATAGAGTAAAATGGCTTTTCTAATAAATAACGCTTATACGCGCGCGAGTATATATATATAATTGACTAAGCAGTGTGTATAGCCAAAGAGAATTAGCAACGCGAATATTTTTAATATCGCGTTATAACTTTCACAAGTTTGCTTTCTTCAGCAATACCAAAAGTAATAATTAAAATAACATTTCATAATGATGGAGAATCTTCAACAAACACTTTGGTTTTTTCGTAATATTTAGGGCAGCTGCTCAACATAATTCTTGGGCACTAAGCCCGTTTTACCGTTCAATGTGCCTTCTAACCAACCTGGTTCTAAGGAGGCTTTGACTGTAATAACATATATTTTGTTACGCGAATTTGTATAAAGATTAAAAAAACATTTCACATTTCAATCTTACCATTTGTGATAATTTGATTTGGTTCAAATGATAACTCGCCATCGTTTTCCGCCATACACGCATACAGAGTTCGTACTCTCCTGAAAATTCATATAAACATTAAAGTTAAAACAATCTTTGAATCTAAACTCTTACATATATAATACTTACCAAATTCCTGGCATTTGACCGGGACTCGAACGTCCACTATTCGGTGAAGTATTAATGCTATAATCATAGAATAAAATCAATAAAAGATAATAATACTTAGAGATAAAATATACAACAAAATATAATTTTCTTTGTCATTAATGAAAAGGTAAAGATTCTTACGGACATATCGACGAGTTACTGCGCTGAGGGTAAGCCGTAGGATAGTGTACAGATATCATGGTGCCACGTTTTTGTTTTACCGGTAATTCGCCTGTAAACGGATGTGGATCTGACGCGATCGATTCGCTCGAACTACTTGTATTACCACCACTCAGAACTGGAATAAAGAATTTTAATTCAGAAAATGATAAGACTGCAAATCGTTACGAAATAATAGCAATAGAAAAAAGAAGGATATAAACCTTTTTCGGCTGAATGATACATAAGATTCGCATTGGTCAATTTTATCCGACCCCCACGACTGTCCAGGTACGATGGTATACGATGACTCGTATTGTCGAGATCTTCGTAATCCCCGTTATTTCGTTCATCGACGGTAGGTGATTTGTTAACGGTTAAAGCCTGGCCGTCATAGTAGGATCTTGTAACAAGCTGTATACATATGTATAGAAATAAATTATTCGTATAGATTAAATACCGAAAGCAATAAGTAAATGATTAAAACTCACGTGCGCGTGTGACGATGTAGCGGGTGTAACGGCTACCGCTGTGTGCCGCGGATATCTTAAGAATGCCGTTCCATTACCCGAGGAAGTTGGGCCTTCCTCCACTTTGACACATTGCGATTTATTCGGAACCACGGTGGCTTGCACTGCCGTTACGCGCGATGAATCTTGGGGTGGCCCGGCTATTATTCTTTCACAATTCTCGATCAATATCTCCACAACAATATTGTAAAATTTAATATCCATTATAGAAGCCACCGTTTCTTCTTCCGGTCGTAGCAAAGTTGGACCAAAACATACCGCCAAGTTTCCCACAGTCATTAGATTTTTATCACTTTTCTTCGCCACACTGAAATTTCGTTTGATCCAAGTGTTGAGCAAAATATGACAAATGTACAATACAACATGGAAGATTCTGGATAGATAGCGATTCAATATCTTTGAATCGGAGGATAAATAAGTAATCGTAGACACACACACACACACATATATATATATATATATATATATATATATATATATATACACACAATAGAGCGCTGAATTTGATGTATAGACAAATAATCTCTTACGTGCAAAGATGAGTGATAAGAAGAATCAGCATATTGAAGTTGGTCTTAGGTAGTCGATAAACGAGGTTGTGTATATCAATTATCCGAGTTTCCTTCATTTCCTGTTCTGTTAGATGCCACACAATAAAAATCAAGATGAAACTTTAGCTCTTTGACTCGATTTTACTTATGTACACGAGTGTCGAATATGAGATCAGCAAGGAAAGAAAACAAATAGTGATCGTTCTACAGAGAGAAAGAAAGAGCGAGAGAGAGAAAAGCAAATTGTGTGCAAGTAGCAAAAATAAAACAAGTATGTTATCAAGAATACCTATACGCACTCGCAGCTGTAATGAAGCTGTTGTAATATCGGAAAGTCATTAACGGCTCGGACAACGTTCTCAGGTATGTTTTAAGCGCGCTGGTAATAGTTTTGCTCTCCCATTCGAAACGATCGTTCAAGTTGAGTTTGTCTACTTTCCTCTTATCGAGTCCCATTATCAGGAGTTTGTTTACCTTAGAGGCGACACCGACTACTCTGTATAAACCTTGTTCTTCGAGTCCTATCGAACCCATAATTATTAAATGATTAAAATGTTCGATTAGATTGCGTAAAAAAAAAATCATAATTATATCTACCTCTATCCTCGAGGGCCGCAATACACTTGGATACGAACGTAAAACCGTTTTCATCCAATGTCGTATCCTCAGATTTTGCGGAAGAACCTAATCGCGGAAAAGTCTGAAAAATATTTCGATGATTAAGAATAATTCCTCATTCATAAAGGATAGAAAATTTAACAATAATAGTAAAGAGACGACCATCCGAACACTATCGAAATGCATTGAAGTACTCACAGGTTCCTTTCCATCCATGGCATCCATCCACAATTTTCTATCCTCTTCGGAAAGCGCTTGAAACGTATATGTTATATTAGGTCTGGAACAAAGAGATGGAAACACTTTTTTTAATTATCTTCTGTTTTTATGGTAAAATAATTTTAAGACGAAATAAAATCCTATGTGCGCGATACAAAATCGAATTCAACTTACCTATCAATGGCAGTGATATCGAAGCAAAATCTTTTTTCAATACTGTCTGATGTGCGTCGTATGCAAGACGCTAGCGTAAAAGTTTCCTTGCTGCTCTATCGAAAAAATATTGAAAATTATTCCAAAGATAACTGTGCGGGATATTATTACACATATTAATATATAATTAACTTTTCTTTGACTTACAAATTTACCCGTGAGTTGATTGTAAGGGATCATAGTAAACTCTTTCTTGTCTTTCTGATATGTGCAGTATTGTTTTGTCCATGTTGTACCAAACGCTTCTGCAAATATCATGTTGCAGTTAGTAAGCTATAGCAATATTCATAATTAAGATCATAAGATAAATATTTAAAAAAAGGATTTACAATAAGATTATTTAAACAATCGATTTCTATACCAAGTATGTCTTTTTACACTACAATAAACTTACTTTTCTCCATTAGAAATAGATAGCCTTCGCGCGAGTGCAATTTGTTGAGACCACTTTCTACCGTGGACTAAGAAAAAAAATGACATGTGAATAAGAGAGATATGTACTTTTTGTTTTATAAAAAAAAAATCTATTATAAAAATAACTATTTTAATATGCCCAAAATTTTCCTCTTGTGCATTCTCTCTACCTATTAAAGTAATATTTAGCAAACTATAACAAAACGACGTATTTCTATGTATAGCTATGTTTGAGTAATTAAGAATAAAAAATACAAAAATTTCTATAAAACGTACCTTCTTCATGTCCTTCATTTTATTCATAAGTGATTCGGTTTTATCCCGGGTAGCAAGGAAATTCTCTCTAGTCTTGTGAAACACACGCACACACACAAATAAAAAATCGCAATTAGTAAGCAATTTATCAATCATGCTGTTATCAATCCTATTAGATATTTACATCAACACACAATAATTTACTCTCAAATCTTATATTATTCGAAATCTGATAACTATAACTCATAGATTCCTTATAAAAGTTCTTGACCAACATCTTCTTCAAAAAAAAGTTATTGAATGTTTAATAGTACATACTTTGTTAAATTTATAAATTTTAATGTAGAAAATAAAATGTAAAATATACATAAATTGAAATTGTTTTATTAACAATTGTATATACGCGCACGTTACTTGCAGAACTCTATATATTTGTGCTCTTTGAAAAAACATTCTAACAAAACTAACTTTCTATTAATTAGCAAATCTATAAGTTGTTAACGCATTTCTTGTAACATGTGATATTTGCTACTTCACAAGCTAACAAAAAGATTTCAGTGATATTAGAAATACTATAGAGCAGACACGTATCTACATGTTAGTGATGCTTAAGATTCTTTTGCAGTACAAAGAAACACAGCAATAGCACGTTAAGAAATAATTCTATATATTATTATTATTGTGTCTCTTGCAATAGTATATATTAACTCGAAATAAATATACTGGCCAGATAAAAAATATTTTCTTCAATATTATTCAACATGTATGTTTAAGCAGCTATAAATATGTCATAGAGATTAATCACCAACCTTCTGAATCTTTAATTGTAGCTCTGTCATGTAAGGTTTAAAATCTTTCGCTACCTCGTGGCCTTGATGGTAAAATGTCAGCCATCCAAACATAAATCCCAATAGCTAGAACATTTTATGTTACATTACTGTAATATACTAATGATTTACAGTCATTACAATTCGATGCGCGTGGCATGTATGTTTAATCTAGATACACACAATAGAAAATAATGGAACTATTTGCTATTACCGTTTCAACAAATTCAAATTTTTTCCGCTCTTGAACTTCTTGCAATAAGAATACATATTCTAAGCTAGCTTGAGAGAAGTGTCTTTCAGCCATCTCCAATGTTGCATCGGCCTACACACACACATGCACATACAATATCAACTATTTAATAATATACAATTCTAATTTTTTATAGATCATTAAATATACCTCTTGCAGCACATTGTCCTGTTTTTTAGTGGATAAATTTAAATAACGTTCTTGACTTTGACAAAATTTAATCGTTTGTTTTTCAAATTTCTTTTTACCATCCTGAAAAATTAAAATCATGACAGAAATGGGATGATTAACATTGATGTTTGATTAACTATAGTAAAGTTTAATTAGCTATACTTTTGATGTATATGTCCAGAAATAAATAGCTCAACTATATGAGAGTTTATTTTTGAGAATAAAAAAAGATTACATAAATGTGGAGTTGAAAACAATTAATTTTTAAATATTACATATAAAAATTTTTTATAAACTTGTCTTTAAGAAGAAACCACATTTCTCAATGCAAACATTAAGCTCTCTTATAATTTACATTAGTTTGCTTATACATATGAGTATTTATCAACTTAATATCAGAAAATAAGTCATTTCCCTCTCAATAAATATACTATGTCAACTATGTAACTCATACAGATTCAAATATGATTCATTCGTTTACTTTGATGCATACTTTTGCTACATAATAAAAGTCAAATTGACTCATCAGATCAGAATATATACTGTCAATATCTACTACTAACACAAAGAGAAAATAACAATAGTCTTTGTATCATTAACCTCCCAAGAATTCTTGCAAAATTCTACTGTAAGTAAGAAATGTACATAATTCAAAGCATTTCTAGATTAATATCTATATAAATTTCTTTCATTCTCAAAATAAATAGAATTCCAACATTTATTTCTAAGACACAACCTGTATATATAGAATATATACAATATATTGCAAATACAATATATGCAAAAAATATATATATATATTAAAAATAGAATCATACAGATGTATATAAAATACTATATATAAAATGCTATGTATAAAATGCTATAAAATATTACTAAATAGCATTTTACCTTAACTCCCCCGATATGTTCCTTCCTAAAATTCTCCAAAGGCAATATAATCTGATCATACGCACGTTCCAGCTAAAAAAAAAAATCGATTTTAGGAAATGACAATATCATTGTTAGAAATATAAAATAATGTATGAAAAATTTCATAAGTATAATATTACACTTTAACAGCAAATATACATTCAGAATATTACATACCATGCGATCTCTTTCATCTTCTATGGATGCGATAAGTTTGCCAAATTCTTTTAAACTTTGAGATATATGAGTTTCATCCTCAGTTTGGCTCTCCCCAATACATTCAAAGCTAAAGTTTTGTAATGTTTTGGAAAAGGCTCTCTGAGCTCTGGACAAATCTGAAAAGATATTATTCATTAACTTAACAGATTAACATATCAAAAAAACTAGATTACGCTACAAAGAAACTATCTTCCACAATACAACGATATATCTTTAATGTGGAAAAAGAATAAAATACAAGCTAAATGTTATTCCTAAATACTTTGTTGTTCAAGAATATAGTACATATTGAGTTAATAATTACGAATATCAAAATAAATATATATATACATAACAGCTGTTACAAAATTCGTATCTCTTTATAGTTGGAGTAAAAAAAAAAAGAAAGAAAAAAGAAACATGATATCATGTGCTAGAACTTACTTTTAGCAGCTAATAATAAATCTTTAACCTCTTTAACGAGCCGCTTAATCTGTTGACTGGTTTTTTCTAATTCGCGCTCGTGATAGTGCAAATTCTCACGGAAGTACGGACTGTCGGTTAAACAATCCGTAAATTCTAATGGTTTAAGGCCAACACCCATTCTCGCTTATTTATGAAAATTCAAGAGTCATTAAGCGTAAGACGGGAGGAGGCCGGATTTGCTCGCGAGTTCGTTGTCACCCTTGATCACCCGCGATAAAACGTACAATCATTATCATTACTGCAAGATTATTCGCGCAGATTCGCGCACAGATTCGCCATCACTGCGACGTGCAATGTGTCCAAACACCTCACACTTTAACCTCGACTGTATATATGACCGACATATATGTGCATTCATGGTTACGTTCGAAAATTCGCTCGTCAACATGGAATAGCGTTTGATTGACCAATCAGGACAAAAGGAACTAGAATCTCTCTATCTTTATTGGTCAATCAAACTCTGCTTTATTCGACAAGTAAATTTTCGAACGCAACCCAACTCGTGCGTCAGATTTTTTTATGTCATAAAATAAAGATAAAGACATGATGGGTAAATTATATAAGCCACTCATTAAGAATAGTCAATTAATTATAATTTATCTATAAAATTATCTAATATTTACGTAAAATTTATCACAAATGATGCGTTCTTTCGTCCGGCATAAGTTTATCCGATTGACTTGAATTAATAAAAAAGCACAGACACGATGAGATTATTCTCGAAGAGCG